TATAACCATTGTGGCACCAGTATCATAGATCAAAAGAAGTAGACACTATACACCTTTTATCTATGCCAGTATCGTGAAATCAGTTGTAACCCTGAGAAAAAACTATAAATTCGGTTCGTTTGAGAAAATATAATCATATGCATTCTCCGTTATAAATGTTGTGCAACGATTTACCGTCAAATTTATACCCATGTAAAACAAAAATTTGTGGCAACGGTTGAAAAGTAATCGTGTAAGTACAGTAGTTTAAAAATGTTTCCCAACATTTGTGTAGTTTAATTTCACCCCACCATTATTTTATGAACGCATTCTAGGTTCGGTTGACCTAGCCTCGATCAGCTTCACACTTTTTAATATTAATTTAAAGTTTATCGAAAATGAAACCAAACTCATTTTACTTTTAAACAATAGGTAATAAAAGGCAACAGGCAATAAAAAAGGTATGAAAATCATTAGTTGTTAGCATTGGCTTTAGATACAGAAGTAGAGTCCAATCCATATAAGTTATGTTGGGTGCAGCCGGATTTTTCTCAAAACGAATTAGTTGAATGAACTACGACCAAAGTTCAATTTTCCTCTTTTGGGGTTCACATACGTCAACGTCATGAACTTAAAAATGTACTAAGATATCAGATAAATTGGTAAGTTGTACTATTTGACTACATACACCCTGAATACGATAAGCGTATTGTAGATATGTAGTCAATTGTTGTACTCGCAGAATATTAATCTCCATATTTAGAACGGGACGTCTAGTTTAAGAGTTGAGATTTAATCAAGAGCTCTATTTTTAGAAAGTCAATAAATCATCACCGGCCGAGTGAGATAAACTGTAAAACATCGATCGCCTCTTTCGTCGAGACTGTACAACTTTTAAATTCTTTAATATTTTCGAACAATTTTCTGTTAAAATGTTACACTCATACGTTTGCAAAAGTTAAAATTCTATTGGAAAAGTAGGCATATTTATTGTAATTTTATGTTTTTAAAGTTCGCAAAAAACAGATTCTCAACCTTATCTGAGGTGTAGGTAAGCGTTCAGCTATGTTAAGACGAGCCAATTTGCCTGGTAAAGCTCGCAAGGGACAGTCGTTGACAATATATAGCTGAGTGTAATTATTGACTACTTACTTACTTACTTACTCCCCCGACGTCGTTGACCAGCTCTTGCTGGATGGACTGAGTCAAAAATAAAAATAATATTTATATACATCTTTACAAGTTTGGTGGCAGGTTAGACGCCATAAAATCCCCATATGTTCATTGAGTAATCTTCAGTGTAATCTTTGCTTAACAGTTACAACTTATGTTTTTCCCCTTTGTACTGTATTTTTAATTTGCTAGTATACTGTGGATAAACACATGTTACAAGTCATTTGTTTACTTTTTCCTTGTTATTTTGTCCAAACAAAATTTTTACTTGGCAACCCATAAGGCCAATGTTAAATATTAAATTTTCAAATAAGTTGTGTAGCGAAATAAGAATTTTCCTGAGTTAGTGGCATGACCAATGACGCTTAGGGCTATACATAAAATTTAAAAAAATTAGACAAAACCCTTCCGCTGGATTTTGAGATATATATATATTACTTACAGACAGACAGACAGACATACATACATACAAACAGACATAGCTCGTTTGAGTATAGGATTATCAAACAAGTTATAACGCGTTATCAATTGAAATTATAGGTTGTATACAGTTGACAATAGTATTGAACGAAGTACGTTGTTATAGTACTTTGAGAACAATATCATTGCAATTTCAAATAATCTCTAAATAATGGGTTTGATGGTTTTATTGCTCATAAAAACGACGCAGATCGTAATAAGAAATCGTATCTAGCAGTCGTAACCGTATCGCCTTGTTTTATCATTCTGATTATGAACGAAATGACAGATGACACCAAGCACTTTTATTAGGCCTATACTTATATCCAGGAAAAAAATCAATAAAGAATCAAACAAATGTTGGTGAGTAGGATTTTTTTTAATTCCCCACGAGTATTTTTTTTTTATTGTGATTTAGGTAACAGTTAACCACTCCAGATAAGTACAGTAGGTAGGCCTACGTGCAACTTATATTTTATTTCAAACAGTATACAATGCTGTTTTTAACGTGTATGATTGCGATGAACTATTTTTAATGGACATTTCATACGCTTTAGGAAAAGTTAGTGTGAGTAAAACACTAACTAGTCCAGGAGCTGAGGGGGGTTGAGCATGCATGAAAGTAGTACGCAATGTTATTGCTGATTATTGTAATATGGACTGTGGTGATCAAAATTACGTATGTCGCCTATTTCAAAAGTGGTCGATAAGGTGGGGGGGAGGGGGCAAACATGGCGGTTTGCGCTATGCGTTAAAACGCTGATAGTTCGAAAACGGTAAAAGATAGAACATCGGTTAAAACGTCGTTGTAATCCTAAAAATGTGGACAATAATAATGGTCATTGGGTCCGAGGTCGTATCTCTATAAATAAACAAGTTATTGTATAAAATATGTAAAAATGGACTTTTCGTGTAGATTTTTTACCGAAAGTAGAATTAATTTGTGAGTGTCGCAAAGAAGTAATATCAAATATCTTTGCTGATAGTTGTAATATGGACTGTGGTGATACAAAATACGCATGTCGCCTACTTTTCAGGTGGTCGAGAACTTGGGGGGAGGGGGGCAAAGATGGCGGAACGCGCTATACATCGAAATGACTGTAGCTCGAGAACGGTACGAGATAGGACATCGGTTAAAACGAAGTTTTAATCCAAAAAATATTACCAATAGAAAAGGTCATTGGGTAAAAAGTCGTATCTTAACTAATAAAAAAGTTATAACAATAATAAGTTTAACAAAATCTACATCGTACAGCTATTTTTTTCGAAAATCGTATGGATTGTTGATAAATAATAGTGTAATTACTTTATTACTCGGCTACATATTAACTAGATGCATTTTCTTATAAGAAAAAAATATATTATTACGAATACATATGGTTTAAAATGTAAAACATGGCCTCCAAACGCCTTGGGGTTCGTCCGTTAGGTTGCGTTATAATTGCTGCTGTTTTTAAAATAATGATTGCTTGTATTTTGTATTTCATTATACACTGAGTATATAAATGAAATAATGATAAATAAATAATCAAACAAATAAGATAATAATCAAATATGAAATATAATATATAGTAGTTTAATTCCATTGTAAATATAAACACCATAAACTTTAAATTTCTTGACCGCTCTCATGCATTAATTATATATAGATGTATATACATTTGTATCAAAGAAAATATTTACAATTTTTTATTTGTATTACAGGTGCTAAGAGAAATTAAAAAGGTACCTATTTAAATTCAACAAATAATATGAACAACCAGTGTAATTGTTATGGATAGAATGAAGAGATTTGCGAAACCCCAAGTATTATATGTAGTTTGGAGGCCATGTTTTACATTTTAAACCATATGTATTCGTAATAATATATTTTTTTCTTATAAGAAAATGCATCTAGTTAATATGTAGCCGAGTAATAAAGTAATTACACTATTATTTATCAACAATCCATACGATTTTCGAAAAAAATAGCTGTACGATGTAGATTTTGTTAAACTTATTATTGTTATAACTTTTTTATTAGTTAAGATACGACTTTTTACCCAATGACCTTTTCTATTGGTAATATTTTTTGGATTAAAACTTCGTTTTAACCGATGTCCTATCTCGTACCGTTCTCGAGCTACAGTCATTTCGATGTATAGCGCGTTCCGCCATCTTTGCCCCCCTCCCCCCAAGTTCTCGACCACCTGAAAAGTAGGCGACATGCGTATTTTGTATCACCACAGTCCATATTACAACTATCAGCAAAGATATTTGATATTACTTCTTTGCGACACTCACAAATTAATTCTACTTTCGGTAAAAAATCTACACGAAAAGTCCATTTTTACATATTTTATACAATAACTTGTTTATTTATAGAGATACGACCTCGGACCCAATGACCATTATTATTGTCCACATTTTTAGGATTACAACGACGTTTTAACCGATGTTCTATCTTTTACCGTTTTCGAACTATCAGCGTTTTAACGCATAGCGCAAACCGCCATGTTTGCCCCCTCCCCCCCACCTTATCGACCACTTTTGAAATAGGCGACATACGTAATTTTGATCACCACAGTCCATATTACAATAATCATCAATAACATTGCGTACTACTTTCATGCATGCTCAACCCCCCTCAGCTCCTGGACTAAACGGTAAGCGTAAAAATGGACATTTAAAATACAATTTTAAAAAGTATTCATGTCCTTTCAAAAGTTAGAAGTGTTGAAGTATAGTAAGAATAAAGTAAAACATGAGTATAAGAGCTTCGCTGTTCGTTCGTTCAGCAAAAAAATGAGTACTGTATACATCAAGTCTTCTCTTTCTTCTGTGCATATACATAATTAATACGCATACTGCGGCAGGGAGAAGTGCAAAATCACGTACCGGTATTCAATAGAATACGATGTCGTAAAATAACAAATATAACTGCTGGTTGTAATGAACTGGTTTGTAATAAAACTGCTGGCTGGCTATCATTTTCTTACAGGAACAAGCAGGTGCAAAGGCATTACTGACCAGCAACCAACTACACCACTTTTTACACACCTCTCTATATTTTACCTAATACTATTCCACGCAGGTGAGGTGCATTTTACCACAACCCAAAGTCTGAATGATGCAGAGCAGGAAGAATAAGTTCCCCTCTTAGACCCTTCCATTGTGAGCTCACCCTCTGTGACGTCACCCTTGTTGTGCATGGCCTTAGCAACAATGTACTTCATACCAGTTAGACAAATTGAACCATTCAATCACTATAAAATCCTTTAGTTAGTTGGAATCCATACAAGAAGCAAAAGATACTCGGGAGTAAGATGGACATGATCGAGATCAAAAGTATTTTCTAGAAATTCTAGAAAATATAGTAATATAGTGTCTAACTGTGTAAAAGTACTTACCTATAGTTTTTATGAAATCGAAGTCCTCCAGTCCCAAATCCTTTTCACCATCAGAAGAATCCGAAGTATTGGAAGAATCTACGGAAGACGGAGGTTCCTTAGGAAGGCTCTCTTGACGCCCGCACCTCGCAACTTTTGACGATGCCATTATGTTTCCTCGAAAATAAAATAATAATTAAAACACAAACTGAAACAAGTGACTATTATATTAAATTCACTCTAAAAGTTTCAATGAATCGACGAGTAAGCTAGCATTTTCATGAAACTTATCGCGATCTCTATGAAAGTTGAACGCGCGGGCCGGCACAACAATCCCTTTACCGGCGTGGAATGAAATGTTGACTGTTGAGCGAGTTTGGTAGATTATTTCGCCGTGGAAGGGGCAGTGTTGCGGTGCTTGTGAGAGCGCTCTAGCGGTCAAACTCGGAACTTTAGATCAGCTGACGCTGTTGCCATGGAGACCAAGGAGGATACAATGCAGACGCAGACAGGTTATGTTATGGTTGAAGTTGAAAGGGAAGTTAGAAAAAGTAGTGATTTTTACATTTGTGTCTACGTTTAGGCGAAAATGAGTGAAATATTAAAATACATTGTTAGTAAGCTCAATGAACAACCTTTTAATAAGAAGTATAATTTGATATCATTTGATTCTTTGAGCCCAGAAGATCTTCTGCAGGTAAATAAAATTACATCAGTGTATGTTTTGAGCATTACAATACAAAGGAAGCAGTTCATAAACTGCTCTTTGTAAAATCAATAGTGTGTTTGAACTTTTATTTTTAGATAATTTAAAATTATAATCAAACAGAGTTATGTGTATAATGGTACCTTAAATTATTATGGATAGATGGGTTCGTCTCATTTGAATTTTTAAAACTGGAAAATAAATATTTTTTGGTCTGTACAGTCTAAATAATTTGACTACCATTATTTTAAGGTGCATTTTAAAATAACATAGGTACCGGTATTTCTAAAATGCATGTTCCCTCAAAAATAAAATAGGTACGTAGGCACATTTCCTGTTACAACAAAAGCAAACATCAACTGTGATAGGTACTGGTAGCCTACATAGTCAAGCGATATAAAAGGCAGCTACTATAAATCACTACTGATTTAATTTCTAGTATCATGAGGTAAACAGTAACACTAGAACCCTATATCAGGTTGGAAAATGATCACGCCAAGCAAAACTGTTAGGCAAAAAGGTCAATCACATTTTGTAATATTATAATGACGTCTTTAAACCATTTGACTATGTAAGCACCTATTTTCATAAACAAACATGTTGCATGTAGACAAATATCAGTGTACTAAGTAAGTGCTAAAAAGATTGTATATGAGTTAGTCAGTGTTAAGTAAATTAATAAATAAATATAAACAACACTTGTATAACCTTTCCGTACCAGGTACTAACGGATGTTTTGGCGGAGGTTGAGCCAAGCAACAAGGTTGATGTTCGTGCAGAGGAACCTGAACAAACCGTTGTCCGTTTGCTGACCATGCTGCGAGTCCTCAAGTACAAACCCAGTAAAGAAATAAACGTGTAAGTACTGATTGTTTGAAAAGATGTTGGCGGCCTTTTTTCTTGCATTTGCCTGTCTAAAAGGGTCACCAGTGGTGGCTGATACAGTACAGTAGTGAGCTGATACAGTACAGGAGTGGATTCATACATTGTCACGCCAATCATTGTCATACATTATACCTATGGAGACCAACTGAGACACCATCAACTTATCGTTAACTTTAAAGCTACTCTATGAGAGATTCATCTTATATTGGATTCATACAACGCTGATTCATCATAGAGTTATTTCTAACCTGTGTTAGCCCCCAAGGTTGATATAACGGCCATCGTGCGAATGACAATATTCAGGCCTATACTTAAAAACACATAGTCTTAATAAAATTCACTTAGAAACTGTACGCATCTGATACCTCCTATAAAACCTGGGAGGCAGATTTTGATTTAATACAATGGATTGATTGTTTACCAATATTGTTAGTTTGGTGAACTGTATCTTGGATCAGACCAAGGACTGGATGTTCTAAGACATTGTCTCCCTGCGAAAGTGATAGTACCTTAGGTTATTTTTACGGATATAATCCTTTGAGGTTGGTCATTTATGATTTTTAAAATGCGAGGAGCTGTCCAGGCAAGGCTTAATAGGAGAGTTAAACCTACCGCGACCCAATGTTGTAGAATATTATTCATCTATTGAATAAATACATCTATTGAATTAAAAAATATAGTTTTTTAGTACAGTATATGTTTCTAAGTGATATTAACTGTCACGATCAGGACCGTGGGAGAATGGCGGTTTTAAAAGCGAATAGGCGGATGACAGAATTCCTGTTATAAATCCATACAGTAAATTGATTAAACATTTTGGAAGATATAATCCTTGTACAAGTGAACAATACATATTTATATTTTAATTACTTACAAGAACACAATACAGATATTTTGTATTTTGTAGTACCTACAGAAGTTCAATCTTTGTACAGTGAAATAGAATCACACCACATTTAAAAATTATCTAAGTACTGTAGCGGGGTGATGGTTAACAAAGAGTGTGGTTAAACATTAATCGAGGTTCTATTGTACACCAGTAACTTGGTACTCACCGAAAACTTTATTCACCCCTAAAAAGTACACTTTTCTCAAAAAGTGTGGGTCTTTGTTGCACTTATCACTGTCCATGGTTCTCGAGCAAGTAAGTGTGATGAAGAAAGAACACTAGTGTCGCTTCTTTTAGCACAACCTTTTTCTATGAAATTGAACATTAAGCACTAATGAAGTGGATAAGAGATAAGATGCTTCTAACAAAAACCTCTCTTAAAGCTGAGAGTTTAATTTTACTTTTATCTCAAGTGCAGTAAGATAATAAATTGCTCATTTGGAGGTTATCATGTTTTAATCACCAACTTGACTGAGTAGAAATATAAAAAAAAAAACAATGTAAAAAAGAATTAACTTTCCCAAAAGTAATTTTAACTTTCACAAGATATTTTTTTCAGATTACTCTTTAAGTTCAAATTTATCAAATATTTATTTTCAAATTAATATAACTCCTATATCATTATCTGGGAAACAATTTTTACTATCACACTAAGCCTTCTTACCTATCCTACCTTCTTTACTATTAAGTTGCTCATCAACTGGATCTTAATAAAAGATTAAATCCTAATTTATGTATTTGGACTAGGCCTAGAGTATATAAATGCAAAGTGAGATATATCCCATTTTACTAAAGATGAGATGAGATGGGTAAATACCCCCGTCGCAGCAAACCTGCATACTAAGCGAATTTCCATTTACCCGGCTTGATTTCTACTAAAATATTCCCTATAAATTTTCAGATTTATTTCCTATTTAAATAACATTAATTTTAGTGAGTAGTTAGGTTTGCTGCTACGGGGAAGATGTTGAGGTGTGTTTTTTCAATTGAAATATTGATAGCTTAGTATGAAATAAACCAAATTGCCAAATTTGATTAAAATATATCCATAAACAAGCAAACTAGAACAGTTTATTTATTCTCCATAAGAATAACATGGGAATTTTAAATTTACAATTTTTTAAATTTTCTCCGTAGTCAATGAACATTCAAAAACACTTCAATATACTAAATTATTTGTTTTTTAAAGCTCTTCAAAATGGTGTAGAGAGAAATTTAGAAATTTTAAGTTTTTAGGGTCAAAAATGAGAAAAACCCATTTTTACCCCATAAAACCCCCCATAAACCCCTGTCCCATGGTCCGATTATGCTGGTTCGCAAACTCGTTAGAATAAATGTAGGTTTACACGTTTGTACCAAATTTCATCAAAATCGGATGAATTTTGCTCGAGTTATCGCGCTAACGTACACATATATAAATATATATATATATATGAATTTGAACGGATGGTGTTTTTGGCCTCTGGAAGTTAACTAAGTTAAAACTTAGTAGGTACCGTAGCACTTTTTCAATTTATTGATATTAATTTGCTTTTTAACATCTAAAGAACTATTCACAACCAAAAGAAGAAAAAAATATTATAACTGTTAATTTTCTGACGTTGTTTCCATCAAAAGATAACTGTAATACAAGGTACCTAACATGTACTCTAAATTAGTAATCAATCAATTCACAACCTAACCACACCTAATTTTCAAAACACATGGACTATTTAGTAACTTACCAGGAGTATCGAGGATAGTTTTCAAAAGGCTCAACATCTTGAATGAACGAAGAGCGTGAAAATGAGAGAATGGACGCGCATCACTAACTTTAACCGCGGGTCTGCCCAAAATACTTTACTACTGGTGTGTGGGTGGATGTCATGTCATAATCAACTAGTGAAGAACTCTCCTATCCGATCTAGACCAACTGGAGTCTTTTGAATTTCTAATACCGGTAATATATTTTTTTAAATTTGTTAGTAATTTTTTATTTTAGGTTGTATTGTTTTTGGTCAAATGATTAAACTGTAACAAGGAGCATATTTAATTTACTTCTAAATCAAATTAAAATAAAACAATAATTTTGTGATTGATTTATACAGTACATGGTACCAAAAAAGTTTTTGTTCATTATAAGATTTGCTTAGCAACATAAAAATTAAATAGGCCTAATACACGTTTCAGTTTAGTTTTTTTTACCTTATTAAACATGACCAATTACACCTGTAAAATATTAATAACCTGTGTGTTGCTCTACAAACTTTAGCCCTTTGATGAAGTATTTAATCACTTTCTTGTTCAATTGTTGTAGACTTTGTTGTGAACTCAACAAATCACAATCCTTCACCTCTAAAATCGAGTTGGGTTTGTTTGATAAAACCTTCTACTTCAAGTTACCCCAAATAAAATAATCGGTGTGCATCCATGTCTATGAGCAATCACTGAAACCACTCAGTAAATTATCAATATGATTCTTGTATTATTCTATTCTAAGCTTCATATTTTTAATCAGCATTATTGGGTCTCAAATGCTGTAGAGTAGTAAAAGTGCATATAGTACTGAGTGTCAAGTCTTTTGATGGCTTACATTATGATAAGCTACTTAATGCTGCTAAACATCATCATTGTGTCATATTATACATTTCACTAAAACTAATAAATCACTTTGATGGATTTTAGACAAATTGGTTTGAAAAGAATAAAATTTAAGAAATTAATAAAACAATTAATTTATTTCCAACTTTGGCCATTGATCGTGAAAAGAGTCACTTCAGATCATTTTGTTCCAGAGGTCAGTTTCGCCAGGGGCTGGTGCAAGGAGATAAGAGAGTTATTCACCCTATACTGGAATGGCTGCTTAAGAATATGGAAGATCTGCGCAAGAGAGCTTACATTGCAAAGTTTCTGGTGAAGATCGAAATCCCTCCAGAGATCCTGGGTGATGCCGATATCGCAAATCTTGTGGAACAGGTAAAGCGGAAATCATGGGAAATACTGAGTTATATTTTAAATGATCTCTGTCACAATGATGCCAAGTTTTTGTTGTGGTCATCATCTTGTTGAGGCCAAGTTCAGATGGAGGGCTACAACAAACATTGCACAGTTACAAGAATGAACTAATTATATGAACAAAAAACAGGCCACTAAAACAGCAATTGGGTTGGAGACTTTGCCTAATGTCCCCTGTACCTTTTAAAGCTGATCGACGGTAGTAAATAATATTTCTTACATTACCTCACAGAGAAGGATGAAATTTGCTTTGGGGATGATTATGCACTTTCAGCTCTAATATTTTGTGTGGGAAATACTTGTGACAAGCAAGGAAGAGTCCGAGCAGCAAGCATGTTGCGGAAATTCCTATCAAACAGGGCAAAGAGTCTTCCTTCACCATAAGCGTTGTAGCACGTCACAGCGAAGGGGGGTGGCATTGGACTTTGCCTTAGACACCACTTAAGTGTACTGAATTGAATGTTTCCTGTGTACGTTTTCTGTGGTTATACCTACAGCTCAAGGGATAAATCATGAAATTTATTAACAGTGATTGAACAACAATTGATTGGATCTTAAATTATTAACTAATGGATGTTCAAAGTAGAGAAATATTTCTTATATTTGGACTACTGATTGTTTGGGTCGATAAGGTTTGCTTATATTAAGGTAATAGGCTAAGTGTGTTTTAAAATATCTGAATAGAACTAGACAAAATTAAATTTTTGCTAAAAAATAATTTTTTCTTGCAAATTTCAAATTTAAAAATATACTATAATAATTTTCTTGGATACAGAGATAGCGTTTAGGCATAACATCAGTCGCAAAAAGATCTCCTGAATTATGTAGATTAGTGTCACTGTCACTATCATTTCAAAGTATATTTTACTTTTACCAATAATATTATTGAAACAATAATAATAAGACAAAAATAATTTAACTTTTGAAAAACTTTACCCTTAAGTGATTGTTAATACTTATGGTCAATTGTCTGTTAAGTACGACAGACTGATTGAAGAGTTCAAAGCTACACACAAGGAGAGCGAGAATGTCAAGTCAACTGGAAACTCCGTGGCCGAGCTACGATCCGATATTGAGGCGATGGAGAAGGAACACAACATTGTGTCCAAGAAGATTGAGAGAATGCAGAGAAAGGTAATTGTATTTTGGGGTTTTTGTAATTTTTTTGTTGCAATTTGGGTAAGTCATGAACAAACTGCATGGAATCATGGGGTATTGCTACCGCAAGTGGTTTGCATGCTAGTGATGCAAAGATTGTCAGTTTGATGCTAAGGAAAGCTTAAAATACTCAAGTTTTAAACAGGTTTTAAACCATTCAAAATGTTTCTGTTGGATGACCAAGAATCTGTTCAGTTATTGGACTGCATTAATTCAAAACATTACTTGAACATTATTGGTAGTATTTGAAGATAGGGAAACAATGTTGATCATAGAAGTAAAATCATCTTGTTCTTTACAAGAAAGTGAGATGCAGCCTGGTGTCTAGAGTGTTGTGTAGCATTTACTTTTGGATACTGATGGTATAGACAAGCTGTAGCCTGTTTTGAATTTCAGCCGACCATGTGTCGGTTGAAGTGTGTTAAAGAATTGCACACAACACCTATTTTGCTTCTTTTTTTGCATTGGTTTAGAAGAGGAAGACATGTCAGATAAAAGACAAAGGACATTATGTAAAACCAATTTATTAATAGACAAATAAAAAATTGGGCCATTTATGGGAACAAAGTTAAAACACATTTCTGCTTTTCCAATGCCCTCAAAACCTGTCCATCTCCTTGCTTTGTCATATGTGTGGTTATGTGTTCTGTTTAAATTGTAGATTTTTTACAACAGCTACCAGTTATTTTTTGAAAGACAACAAAGGCATAATTATTATTATGAAAATGTTCTTTCTTTTGAATCACCACTGATTCTCTGAGGCTACATTTTTGTTGCTTACTCACGGCTAATGGTCACGATTATTAAGGGCATAAAGGGGCACTCCCCCCTTTTTTGGAAATTGATGTATTTTTAATAATAACACAACCCCTTATCTTTCTAGTCGGTTCCACCCCCTTCTTCTAATGGTCAATAGCCGCCACTCATTACATCAAGTAAAATTTGTGTATTTATGTGTTAATTGGAAAGTGAAACTTGAACAAACCTCATGAAAAGTATTTTTTTTCACACCCTGCAGTTGATTGAATATTTGATAGTTGAAAGTTTTAAACAAATTTAATTCCAGGTAGAAAATGTAGAAAACAAGGACACTTTACTAGAGGCTTGCAGAGAACTGAGGGTTGAGCGAGAAAGGCAGAAAGATTTGACCAATCAAAAAGCCGAAGAAGGAGTTGCAATTCAGCAATTACAGCAGAAAGCAACAAGACTGAGTCAGCAGTTGAGGGAACTGAGGCAGAACTCTTCAGGAGCCACTTCTCAAGGTAACTCAAAACATACATCTGCATGTACAGTATGTAACACTTTGGACTATTAACAAAACTAGTCATTTCATCCCAATGTTAATGTTTGTCACCAGTTTTTCAGTTAAAATGTTTGTATAGTTTGATTGTGCGACAGTGTGCATTGATGTCAATCACTAAGTTCTTTCATTTTTTGTTGTAGCTTTCGGATTTTTGAATAACAAAATTGGTTTGAATACTAAATATATATAGCTTCTGTGAAATACAATAGTTGCTTATTGCTGCAACTAGTTTCGAACTTTCAGGAATTCATCTGAAAGATGTCAAAATCGCTTCATCAGAAGGTTGTCAATTCACATGATCACAAACAAACACGAACATTACTGGCGTGTATTGAAACAATGATATGCTCTTGTCTCTATACATCCACCTGGTAGTGTTTGTTAATATACCCTTTCTTTCATTATTTTTATGTCCTTGCTTCTGATGTTTCTGTTATGTGTGTGTGTGAACCTACAACCTTCTGATGAAGCGATTTTGACTATTTTCACGATTGAAGATGACATGTCAAAATTAGTTGCAGGATTAGGCAACAATTAAAATACTTAAAAGCAGGTATTTGAACCAAATCTTTTACTATTTCTGTTGAATGTTCTAGCCAAATCAAACATATTGAACAAACAATTTTTAAGCTATATATAGCTCTTATATGTTTCATAAACTATATCAATAACAAAAATGATTGTGAATAGAAAGTAGACTAAACAGTATGTCTGAAGAAACAGCATCTGGTTGCATTTGTAGGGGGTTTTCCTTAAGCTTTTGAATCAACTACTTTGTATTTTTGTAATTCGTATTTTTATTTTTGAATGTAACATAATTTTCCTGGCCAAGAAGATAACACAGACAGACGTCTTGGTGATTCACCATACCTAATTAATTAATTATCTACCACACTATATGGTCAACCAAAAGCTCTCTATGTGTAGTAGCTCTAAGCTTCAATTACAGTTGTTTACAGAACATGTTGAATTTAGCTTTTAGCCAACTTTGTTGAGTTTGACTTGCATAGACATTTGTCAGTGAAAGTTATGTATGGTTACTCTTGCATCCGACATCAGGCTTTGAAAATCAAAGGGTCGACCAGTCTTTTCCTAACTGTGACCTTTGAGCATTTCATTGGCTTATAGAGGTTTACATTCAAGGTACCTAAATATCTTAAAACCTTCACTTAATGAAATCTTTACTCAGGTTTTCTGTTTGCAGGTTTGCTGCAAAGGTTGGAGGAGGAGATTAAAATGACATCTTACATTGTAAACCAAAAGCTGCCTCGAGAGATTGAACAAAGACAGAAGGAAGTTGATGTTCTCTCGATGGTGGCAAATGAACCAGTGTTGACCAGAAGCAACTTAGACCTACTGCAGGCCAAAGTACGTGGAGAATTTTAAACGTCTAAGTTTTAACATGTGTTTTGTTGTGTTTGTCCAGTTAAGACCCTCCCCTGGTCATTCCTCCAAAATCTGGGGGTAGAAGAATAAATTACCGTAACTATAGCATGTAAAACCACCGCATGTACATTACTCATATAGATATAGTAACTTTTTTTCTTTTATTTTCCAAAAAATACAAATTTACAAAACACATACAATTCCAAGCCACAAAAGCCAATATGGCTTGCCTGCAGCAATTATTCTAATTTTATTATTTCACAGTGTTTTTTTATTCAATCAGTCTTTGTTATTCAATCAGTCTTTTGTTTCCCTTGTTTTTCTGTAAGAATTCAATAATATACCAAACCAATCATAGAATTTAGACGTTAGATTGTGAAACTGACAAGACCATGGCTTGAACCCTACCTTAAAAAAAATTCTATTGGTGCAAAACACATTAAAATACTCGCTACTAAGTAGTGAATCTTCTTATCTTCTTACGTGTGGATTAACGTCCGCACGAGTGAGTACTATCCTGATAATTAGACTAATTCGTATATACCAAGGCAAAAATGTGGTTCGGATTCCACATAAACTGTGGTCCCTTAGTTGCCATTAGCAGTATGGGCTATTAATTAACAGCTGTGTCTAAGGAAGATGTCGGCCATAGTCACTAACAAGACTACAAGATGGCGCCACTCATCCTACAGTCATCTCCATTCATACATGGCTTAAAATACCTACTTTGTATGGTCGCCATTTCATCTAAAAGTATTAAAATAAAAGTAAAGTATTAAAGTATTAAGTATGTCGCTAACTCAAAAATTAAGGCCTACCATATTTCTTATAGTTAGAGAAAACTTATGATTAATTTTGGTTTACAGGGGCGGTGAAATGCACAAGTAAATAAATAAAAGTTTTTAGGTTACAGATTAAAAAAAAATATTGCTCTTTAGTGCAACGAGATCAGGCTTGATGCAAATTTAAAAATTTAGTAATCACATCACGCAATAGCGGTTGAACTTATCTAAGCTAAATTTACCAAAATTATTTCTACAAACAGTAAGAATGTCTTTTAATAAATCAATCATAATTTTATAATGCCTATATCATAAAAAAAACTAAGTTTGCATTTTTAACATCACGCTTATAGGTTTCTATGATGGTTACCAGATAAAAAAGGTAAATTTGAACAAAGAATCGTCTTTATAAACCAGCTAATATACGACCTAAATACAGTACAAAGGAAAAAAGCATTTGAGCAAAGACCATTGATCAAAGAATACATAGAATTTATTCTTGTAGAATGTATATACAACATAATTTAATCTGCAGTAAATCATTTAAAGTCTATTCTATCAAGTATTTTTTGAGTCTCCCCTAGTAAAAAAGTTCTAAAACTAGTGGCTAATATTGATCGTAAGGGACACAAATTCAAACCTCTTTTCCTGAAATTAACAATGTTTTTGCAATCAGGTGCAAGTTGTGACAAGTGAAGTAAACGAACTGGTAGAGCGCCATCTAGCCACCAGCAATCCGTCAGATGACAAACTGGCGCCGTTTCGACAACAAGCTGCAATCATCGGTAGGAAGAAAGACACCATCGCTGAGCAGTTTTCAGAACTGAGAGTGCAGCATAACAAACTACTTGATGAAATCAGCGTAAGTCAAAACTCAAAGGAAAAAAGGATTTTTCTTTGTTAATCTCTTTTTTAATTCAATTGGTTGTCTATTGGTTGGAGTGTCATGTTCTCTGTCAGCAAAAACTAAAACATCTTGAGGGAAAACCTTTTATTTTTGTGCAAATTTGACGTAACTTCAACAAACTGTAACCTTTAAGAATATTAATACAGAGGCAAAGTTAAAGTGTTTTGTTTTACAATTAGCAGATTTGAAACAGCAGTGAAGAATTTTTTAAACCCTAAGTTAGGTTTGTAACCTGCTGCAAAGCACAGGTAAATCTAAATTACAAGCAAAAACAGGTCCGTGTCATTGTAATAATTAGCTGACTCCATCACTGTTTCCAGTCAGTGACAGAACAGCTGCGTCAGGCGGGGGGTGAAACTGGTGTGTTACGAGGGGATGAGTTCAAACGCTACGTCACTAAGCTGCGTGCTCGTAGCTCCATATACAAGCGGAGCCGAGCTGAACTTGCGGCAATGAAGGCAGAAGCTGGAGTACTGGCTCGTACTCTTGACATACTCAAGGCTAGACTTTCACAACTAGCACCTATAGAGGTATTAGCACTGTTACTGTAGAGTAGTTAAAACGTAAGTGTTTAAAGTGAGTAGTGTGTGGTAAATAAAGGGAGTCCTATAAGTTAAGTGCCGATATTTGCGTAGTTGTTTTTCAGGGTCAAAATAAAGAGGGAATCAGTAACTAATTTTTTTCAAACAACAATTTTTTTTTTGTACCTATAGTTGAGATTTCTTTCTCATACGCTTGTTGAAGCTGGAATCAGTGTCAGCTGAAATCTGCTGTGCAAGCGTATGAAAAAAGTAAAGAGCTTCCGCTCCTTTATCAGCTGTGCTTTCAGAACACGCTAAAGTAGCATAGCAGCTAGGTGGTGCCGCCACTGCCTTAGCACCGCAGAGCACAGCTGGTATAAGAGGGAAAGCTCTCACTGTGGATTGACTTTGCTATTTTTAAGTATTTTGTCTAATCAGGTACAGACAGACATCAGATTTCAGCTGTCACTGTTCCAGTTACGGCAAGCGTATGAGAAAGACAACTCAACCAGTAGCGGCTAGCCCATAAGGACTCTCGGACGCCGCCCTCCCAACAATACAGAAATCAATATTTTTTTTTATGTAATAAAAAAAATAATATGTCGTAATTAAAATTAAATTACAATTACTTACGACTACTTAATCAATATGATAATAATATGAAATGAAATAGTTTTAAATTTTGAATCCAGTAATGACTGTTTTGCAATAGTCGCTTTCATAATGTGGATTGCGGACGGCGGCAACCTCCGTCCCAAACTCAATGCATGTAGTCTTATGGTAGAAACACCTAACAGCGCTGAGGGTGCCGTGACGTCATTCCAATGCTTTACAATAGGGACTCTGGGGCAGAGTCCAAAGCTGCGTGCGCATCCATAAATCAGGGCAGCCACCCTAAACTGGATAATTCTGCATCACACACGATTAGGATAGGAAGAACCATGTTGGCAGCGCTGGAGCCATCATCCACACTGTCACTACCATAAACATTAACTAACCTCACTTCTTTCCATGTCCATGACCACAGTTCAGTTATAGTTTAGTGCCAAACGACCTGTTGTTTTGTGATCAATAGTGTTTGTGTTTAGTGATAGTGATGGAGGCGTAAGGAAGGCAGCGGTAGTTTGTTGAAGATTGAAAGAGCTAAGTAGAAATTATTAATAGTTATACTTAATTGATTGAGTTAGTTAGTTGGTATCTTTGAGTCAATAAGTTACGTCTGTAGTTTTAGTATAGGCTAACCTAATCAACCCGAAAACTAAGTAAACTAACCATATTTTAAGTAAAGTGACTCGGACAATTTTAGTTATAGTTACTTATTATTAGTCTTAATAAGTTATTACGGGTAAATTTGCCGTGGGTTGAAGGCCTAAATCTAAATAATAATGGACGGCGGCATTTCGTTGTCGTCGACGGCTAACGTCACTAACGAAGTTAGCCTGATTATCAATGAAGGGATCAAAAATATTGACCACAGAATTTCTTTGAAAAAATTAGGACCTCCTAGACCTTTCATGAACATAAACCAAATTCAAAACAGTTCAAAGAATAAGAATAGCTTCACACAAAAATTTTCGCCACATATGTACAATCATGCAGATTGGCTATGTGGTTGTTCAATTAAAAATTCATTTTTCTGCTACACTTGTTTGGTCATGGGGGTTCAAGATAGAGCATGGACTGTAGACGGCATTTCAGACCTTAAACATCTACTGGAAAAAGTAAAAAAACACAAAACAAGTGAAAAACACATAAATGCGTCAATAGAATATGCTGTTTTAGGTAAAGTTGATGTTAGATGCCAATTGGACAATGCATATAGGTTAAAAATACAAAAACAAAATGAAGATGTTTCGAAAAATCGATACATTCTAAGTAAGCTAATTGATGCAATTAAATTTTGTGGAGCGTTTGAATTAGCATTACGAGGACATGATGAACGCGAAAAATTCTAAAAATCCTGGCATATTTCGTGGTTTGGTTAACCTTATGGCGGAGCTGGATGTAACATTGCAACAGCACATAAATCAAACAAATAACCGAGTGTTTTTGGGTCTGTCTAAAACCATACAGAACGAGTTATTGGACTCAATATATTACGTTTGTCTGCAAATGATTCGTGACGAATTGACACAAACCGACTATGTTGCTATTGAAGCCGACGAAACAACAGACTGTGCCACTTTATCCCAACTAGTATTTGTTATTAGGTACGAGCTGAATGGCACGATTCACGAGCGATTTATCACTTTTATTAGACCAAAAGGCCATGATGCAGAATCAGTTAGCGAAACAATTTTTGAAGTATTAGAGCAATTAAACCTCGACAAAACTCCTGATAAAGTCATTGCCCAGAGCTACGATGGGGCTTCCGTAATGAGTGGCCAACACACGGGAGTACAAGCGCGTGTAAAATCTAAATATGAGAATGCAAATTTTGTCCACTGTTACGCACATCAATTAAACTTAATCATTGAACGCAGTGCTACACAAAATAAGCAGGTTAAGATATTCTTCAGTAATATCGAGGGGTTTTCATCATTCTTTTCCCAGTCAACAAAGAGAACTGCAGTTCTCGATGAGATAGTAAAACGTCGTATTCCAAAAAGCTCAGGTACTCGGTGGAATTTTAAATCCAGAATTGTAAGCACAATTTTTAATTATCAAAGAGAGTTGGAGGAATGTTTAAGTTACATACTCGACGATGACACCAATGACTATGCCACAATAAATAAAGCTGTTGGCCTAAGAAGTATTCTAAAAGACGAAGACTTTATTTTCTGGCTGGACTTTTTCAATCAAATACTGCCCCACAGTGACATTCTGTACAACCAACTGCAGCAAACAACAATTGATTGCGTCAAGGCGTTTAAGTTTGTCGGCGATTTCAAAACTGTGGTAGATCGCGTAAGAAACTTGACCATGTTAGATCAACCGAGAGATAGTGAACCCGAATCGAGCAAAAAGCGGAGAAGACACGACGATCAAAAACGCGTCGTCGCAAAGGAAGTGTGTGACATAATTACGTCGGGAATTGATGACCGTTTTACGTTTGTAAATCATTTGTCCGCGGCAAAACTGTTTCAGCCAAGTTTGTTTGGGGAGTTTAAAACCAAGTTTCCCGAAAAAGAGTTACACGCTGCTGCGGAACTATTTAGCCTAAATAAAACTGAATTGAAACAGGAGTTAAATGTTATTTACAATAGGGATGATTTTTCAACGGCCACAGGGTCATTAAGACTACTCAACTTTGTCTATGACAACAACCTCAAAGATGTGCTTCCAGAGTCAATCAAACTTTTAAAAATCATAAGCACAATACCTATGACTACTTCGGAAAGTGAACGTTGTTTCTCTACTTTGAAACGAATTAAAACGTTTACCAGGAGTACCATGAAACAAGACAGACTAAGTGCGCTTGCTATGTGTTCTATCGAAAAAAAGCTGTTGTCAACTTTAAACTTCAACGAAAAAGTAATAGATCACTTCGCCGGGCAGAAAGAAAGGAGGATGGATTTCACATTCAAACAGTACAATTAAAGTTAGGCCTTATCCTCATGGTATGGTTTTCTACTCATATTGCCGTGGATGTTTTAATATAAAATACAATTAGTCAAGCCTTACCCTCATGGTTTGGTTTTCTATTCGTTATTGCCGTGGGTGTTTAAATTATACAATTCAATCAATGTCAGGCCTTACCGTTTGGTTATCTACTCATTATTGCCGTGGATTTTTTACTATTAAATTATCAATTGTTAGTTATATTTTCAATACAGTGTAGTCCCGTTTTACAAGGCCGTAGGCAGGGAGGGGGGTTAGAGGGTAAAACCCCTCCCCCAAAATTCCGAAATTGAGCAGTACAAATTAAAACTAGGTTTAAAAAGTTGAATTATGAAATAGAAACCACAATAGAGGATTAATTGTTATGTTTTGCAATATCTATTCATATTTAATATAGGCCTAGTTCTATTAGGATAATAAATCTGACCTATTAAATAAATTGGTAAAAACTATTTAAAAAATATACTTTACTTTACTCTACTTATGTCTATTTGCTCATGCATGACAAACAACAGGTGAAATGGGAGTTTTTGGACAATTATTGGACACAGTTTTAGGTGTTAAAATTGCTTCAGAAAGTCACCAAACGGCTTTAAAAATTAAAAAATTTTTCCGGGGCCGGACCCCCCTCTTCTGTTGGGGGGTGCTCCACACCCCCCAAACCCCCCGGAGCCCCCCCCCTAGACTAGGTCCTAGAGCCGCCACTGAACTCAACTACCTTTATAGTCCTTAAAAGAATACTATCAACAGATCTTTGACAAAAAAATCCCTCAACCACACATTTAGAAAAAATTGTAAATTGATGCTACTACTATTCTTAATGAATGTGTAAATAAAGATTAATTGTCTATTGTCTATTGTCTACAAGAACAATTTGTGGTTGGAAAAAATTTAATTTCAGATTTCCTCTTTATTTTGAGCCTGAAAAACAATTACCCGCCTGAGTTTGGCACTTAAATTATAGAACTTATTATGCTGTTTCAACGTGTTTTGTCTCATCAGGTAAAGACAGACAGTAAATTCTTCCTTTCACTGTACTACAGCAAACTTATTTAGAAGAGTTCCAGTTATGGCAAGCGTTGGAGAAAGAAAACTCAACTACAAAAACATTCCTTGCCAATAACATTGATGTGACTAACAACTAGTCCATCTCAAATGAACAAGTTGTTTACCAGATTACGCAAGTTTGTAATTTTTTAACAAATTTTTTACTTTTTAAACGATTTTCAAATTAGAAACTTAGTATGTATGTTAAGGAAGATAACTATTTTAGAGAAAGTTGTTCATTTTTGTGAAATTAGGCAAAACTAAAAAAAAGTCACTATTTGAAATTGTATACTGGAATAAGTTAAATTTCTGCACTAAAATAGGTCTCCTTTACCTTATTCCAAAACTTTTTTGGTGGTTTGAAATTATGTCAATAGCAACGAAATATTTTAATTGTGTATTATATATTTTTTTACCAGGATTATTTATTTTTGGATTCTTATAAGTGTACCATCGCAACAAAAAAATATCCTATGTCAGTGGTACCATGATCGTCACATGATCATGACAACACCCTTGTGCTCTACATAACATAATATGTTATGTAGAGCACAAATAGAATATATTTTTATTAGAATACATTTACAGTTTTTTATCTTTTATAGGAAACCTCAAGTCATGCTGGGAAAGACTCTTTTGATGACCATGATAACTCAGCTGCTGATCTCAAAACTAAAATTGCGATGAAGAAGGCACAGTTGACACCTCTTATCAAAGGTTTGTAACATATCAGTTTTTTTGTATATTTAGCCACCTACCAGTTCCTTTGACTGTTTATATTTTATATTTTCCAATCAATTAGGAAACCTTTAGGATCTGCTTCATGAAAACGGATTTGTGTCATTTATTGAAAAACTAGATGAAGAAGGAGAAATTGAGAAAGTCCTGATTTGAGATTTGTTCTGAACTGAAGTCCCGATTGTTTACCAATGGAGAGTGAGCTTTCCTGAGAAAGATATATTTTTGCAAGTTGGTCTTTGATTTAGGTAAAAGGGATAATGGCTCAGATCGATAAAGTTGTCCCACAGGTACCGCTAAGTTCTGGCAAAAGATTGTAACCAGTTTAAGATACGCTCATCATCGCCATCTACGGAATGCTTGGATTTCTCTAGCACAAAAGGGTTATATTTACTGCAGCATCTAACATGAATACTCACGTAATTAATGTAATGCTAGGAAATAAATGTGACAATTTCAAGGGAATAATTTATTGAAAATCCAGCCATGTAAATGGAGATCTGCTTAGCCTGCAGGTTTTTCTGTGGTGGAGGTATTTTTCATTAATTGGTCAGCAGACAATTTGAATTTACAAATATAAATTGGTGCAGGTGACTGTAGAAACCCGTGTAGACGGAATGGAGACGTACATACATATGTTATCGTCTGACTGTTGAGTCGGTCTGGTGGTTTTGGCTATTTATATTTTGCAATGAATATACATATATTTATATATATATACTTTCTTGGTATAGTTTCAATCTTCCAACAACTAAAAGGTAAAATAGAATATTAGACAGTAGCAAACTCTGTGAGTGGTTCATTCAAGTTATTTTTGAATAAAATATGTGTCCATATCGATGAAAAATGTCTACTTCAGTATCCAACAGTCTAATATTTAATAATCCTTCTCTGTTTTGTCCAACAGAATTGCAACCACTGCGGGAGACAGCACAAGCTGTAACAGCAGAGTATGAAGAACGGAAACAATCGTATGACCGCATGTCGGCTGCCCTAGATAGCACTACCGCTAAACTAGAACAGGTAGCTTTGGCTCTTATGTAAAATATTAAAAATCATTTTTAAGAGTTGTTAGCCTCCGGATTACGTTTGAATATTTATAATGGTTTAAATACCTGCATTCAGTAATCCAATATGCTGCTTGTGGCAACTATAGTTTCGGTTCACAGGGAACCATCTTCAGGCCGTACAAGGCGTCGTTATTCACTTCCATATATGAAGGTCGTCATTTAATAAATAAGTACATAGAACACAAACACACGAAAACGCACATTGACACGAACATTTAACATTAAAAATACCGAGTACTCGGGAACATGAGACAGGTGACGCGACCAGGTTGTGACACATAGCGGCACGCTATATTTCTTATAGTGTCAGCGCTTCGTGTGGCAGGGCTGCATGGCGAACTCGTCAGCCCACCGCGAGCAAGCGAACGGCTTCCCCCACTGACCTTCCCCAACCTTCTTCCCACCGACCTTTCCCAACCCTCTACCTTCTTCCCACTTCACCGGCACCCACGATCAAGAACTCTCACAGAAGAAGTGTTCCCCAGGAAAAACCTACTAAATGGATAAGTCCTTAGATTAATTGTGTACAATATATATAGATTAATATGTCAGGCTAGTTAGCAAACAAGGGGGATACCTACAAGGGTCGCCCCGACATAGGAAAAATGTAGGAATTAACAATTACGGTTCGAGGCTTTCAGCCTCGGACCATCTGCAACAGGATTAGGGCAACACGTTTTCCCCAGAAGTTTCCATAGTTCTTTTAATTAAATTGTTTGGCATTTCCTATTTAAGTAGTTCAATAACCAGTCAATCATCTCATTAACAGTCATTTTCTAGGTCACAAGTTTTGGAAGGATAGTTTTTTAGTAAATTAAATTAGTTGTATTAGCATAAATCAAAGCTGGCTATGCAAGCTTCCGGTCTGGGTAAAAGATCTCCGTCCTCTGGTCCCCAACACGTCTTTCATTAATTAATTTGGTAGCAGAATCAGCACGCTTAATTTAGTTTTACACCTCAGTCAATCAATCAGTAATCAACAAATTAGTTCCATTGCAAACGGCTAACGGCCACATATGGTAGCAGGCTAGGCCTAGGACCGGATCGCTTTAGCCAGTTTTGTTTTAACATCAACAGTCAGGCAAAAATTTTTTTTAAAGGGAACCTTCTGGGGAGACGAGTTTTCTAGCAACAAAATTTCTGTTCATTAGAAAAAATTCTGTTCAGTGGAATAATCGACATTGGAGGGAACTTAGCAAGATTTCATGAATTACATTTTATTTTCAAAATTAAAGCAAAAGCTAGGATGATCAAGGTTAGTGTGGGCCTATCTGAATTTTTACTGCAGTCACAAAATTGGTAGTAACTTACAGTAATACTCAATAGGCTAGTATTTTAAGCTTTATAAGTGTAGTATGAGTCCTTATGGTGTTGTTAATTATGAATTTATTTAGGAATTTGTTTGCAAAAGTGCTTAAATTGGGTTTTTGTTCGCCCCAACCTCTGAACGCATTACCGTTCATCGTTCAGTACAGCAAGCTTTTATAAGGTAGCTTACAGCAATGTTTTGTTGTTTGGGGAACAGTGCTCATAATTTTTAGTGGTTTATTTATTTAAAAATTCTTTGCAATTCAGTGTAGCGACAGATTTTGGGACGTGTTTTAAGTTACGGTAAATTTCATGTAAAAAAAAAAAATAAATACCCTAAGTGGGGTTAATAATTTTAGTTAATCGTGTATCGTGTTAATGTTGTTTCACAGTAAATAAATTATTTGTAGTTGATGTTAGGCTAGTGATTTTGTAGAAATTTAGTTGATTTTATAGGCTTTGCAAAAAAGACTCCGATGTCGGTGTTTCCTTTGTTTGGTTTCCTTTATTGTTAGAAATAAATGAATCAAATAAGAAGTTCAATGAAACTTCAGGTAATCGGCGACTCATATGCCGCACGATTTCACAATTTTTCTCAGGCAAATCCTGAATTAACTGGAAATCTGCAATCAATTTTAATTCGAAGCATTTCTGGAGCAAGAGTGTATGACCTCAAGAAGTTTATCAAGTCAAACATTTCTGTCATACAGTCGCATATTCCGTTATTAGTCTTTTTGGGTAACAACGATTTTTTGGCGAATGTGGAAATAACAGTTTTTAAGAACACCTTTTTGTCTTTTTTGAGATTATTGCGTCGGAATTATCCTGGAATGGTTATTGTCTTTACGACGTTGCCGCTTTATCCTAGGATAAGAAATCCAGTGTCAGCAGTAAACCGTCTACGTCAAATGAACAGATTTTTGCTCACATTAACTTCTGAGTTCACCAAGGTAATAGGCCTACCCGACGAATTGAACGACGTAAAATATTTTCATGTCTATTATGGACGATCAATGCGTCGTGATGGGATTCATTTCAACAACTTCAGCAGCTTAATTTTCAGCATTAGTTCCAGAAATAGAAAGAACTATCTCTCAATTTCACACATAGGATTTTATTTATTTTCACCTCCTTTTTTGTTACGCTTTTGGTATTCAGTCTAGTTACTGTATGCTCCGGAGAACAGCTTCAGCGACGAATTTTTTTTCTCACAGGACAAATCATGTCAGGCATTTTCAAAATTTTTAGAAATGCTAAGGAAAAATGTTTAAAAAAAAAAAATCCTCGTTTCCTTGTTTGGTAGCGTACCTAGGTTTTCCCCTTTCCTGCGAATTTTGAATAGTCAAACAGGCAATCTAGAGTTGCGGAAAACCCTAGGCAGTAGGTGTTTTGTGGTTATATATATATATATTTTTTTTTTCTCTCAGCTTTCTTGTCTCCGAATTTTGGGTGGAATGCCTTCACGGATCTATTCGCCCGACGAGTTGCCAACAGGCACTTCTTGGGTTTGCTCACTAAATGCGCAGGATGCGACCAGTCAGTGTCATGTGTTAGGAATCACGCCCTCGCCGACCTTGTCAGAAAATAGAGCATTATTAAGCGATTTTTTAAAGAAACTTCAACTGAACGGCGGACCCGATCCTCTGCCAATCAACGCCAGGCCGGATTTGACCCGCCCAGCAAGCACCCTGCCAACTCAGGCTGATGGTAAGACAGCCACACTTTTGACCACGCCCCAGGCCCCTGATTTGTCGGCCCTCTCTAGCGTCAACACAGCGTCAGCTAAGGGCGAAGCAACGCCGAGTGAGACTCCTCATGCTGGTGACAATCAGTTGAATGACGCGAATGCTGGTTCCGCGGCCGACGTCATGACCTGGAATTCCGGTAGTTCGCATTCTCCTCAAATGAATTGGGCTCAGTTAGTTCAAGAAACCGCGATCGCAGTCGGTCAACAGGTGTTTTCGGCAATGGCCAAAAGCCATTCCCCTCCTCGCGCAATGCAGGGCAAAGCAAGAGTTTTGGAGGATCTTGCAAGGTACCTACCAATGACTACGGGTTCTGAGCCGCGCAAGTTGACGGAGTTTTTAATGTCTGCCGCCAAAATTGCCAATTTAGGTTTGTTCGACGATGAGGATGTGTTATTGGCGATTCTTCCCCGCACAGCGGAACAGTTGAGATCTTTTTGGCTTAAGGGAGTCGCCGACCACGTCAGCCTAGTGCAAGTGATCGCGCGTGTTAGAGATTTTTTTCTTCCTGCGCAGATTAGGCATGACATAGTATCATCAATGGTTTATAGGGTTCAACGGCCTTCGGAGTCCATTTCAGAATTTATAGACAGCATTTCTGGCGCGTCGTCACTCCTGATTTCCGATTTCACCGAGCGCGACGTGCTGGACACCGTGCTGAACGGTTTGAATGCACCGACGCGGGCGGCTCTTGCCGCTTTTCCTGCTGCTGGTAGTCTGTCTGACCTCAGGGCCTTGGTTCCCAGGGTTCAGACGGTCCGCGCGCTGGAGCAGGGGCACGCCGCCTCGCGGCCGGAGACCGTGCAGCGCGGTGTAGAGCACCATCAAAATCATTCAAGTTCTTCGCACAATTGGAATGGGCGGCGAGACAACCGTCGATTTTCAGGCCACAGTGCTCCAAATTTTTCAAATGTTCCACGACAAACTTCCCCACCGCACATTCCCCGTTTTCCATTCAATCAGCCAAATCAACTTCCTTTCAAGCCACACCCCCCATCACAACAATTTTTTCCTAGGCACAATCCTAGATCTCCAACTCAAGGACAGGGAAACTCCAGAGGGGGGCACAGTTAGGCGCCGCAGCGCTCCCCCTAGTTCAATCTGTCAATCAGGCGCCCAGAAAGCCCAACGTGACTAATAAACCCAAGGGTTCACCAAGCATCCCGGCAAATGAGCTTTGCTATGTCACTCTCGATTTTAGAGGAATGTTTAAGGAGGCCCTTATTGATACCGGATCGTCCTTCTGTTTGCTTCAGTAAATACCCAACTTCCTTCTCAGCCATATCTGCCTCCGGCGAACCCATCAATTTTAAATTTACAGTCAAGATTCATTTCAAGATTAAGCACCTTTCATGGACTTATCCTTTCTTTGTTACCGATAATTTGCCAGTCCCCATTTTGATAGGATCTGATTTTCTAACCAAGACCAAGGCAGTAATCAACATGTCCAACCATTCTCTAAGCTTTCCCTATGGATCCCCTCAGGCTCTAACAGCATTATCACTTAGTTGTATCCCAGGCACCGAGCAGAAATACGACTCAGTCAGTATGGGGGAGAATTTAAATCCACAACAGCGCAAGTCAGTCACTCAGTTGCTTTCTCAGTTCCCTGAAACCATCACCAGCAAGTTAGGCCGAACGAACATTCTGAAATACCATATTCGAATCAAAGAAACAAAGATTGTCCGAAACAAGCCATATCAATACGCTCCTCCCAAGCTTCATCTTATGCGGCAACACATCGACGAACTACTGCAGAAGGGGGTAATAAGACCCTCTACGTCACAGTATGCCTCCGCGGCCTTTTTAGTACCCAAAAAGGGCGGGAAAACACGCATGGTCGTCGACTACAGAAATCTCAATTCCATTTTGGAACTCGACGCCACGCCAATGCCCACGA